TTTTTTTTGTTCTGTATTGTCTTGTTTTAAGGCAGAAGAATGTATTTCAAATTTGCTAAAACAGCTAATAATCTCAAAAAGCTGCCAAATTAATGATATTGATAGATTAGAATGGGATGAGTTTGATCAGTGCTATCTAAATCCAGCACATAAAGTTAGTAGGGATAGCAAACATCTAGAAGGTATGATTCATTAAACATTTATTATCAGTGATTAAACAAATTAAATTTAAATGCATTGGAATCATATAAAAGAAATCAGTGAAAATTCTTAATCTAGTAATTGCAAACTTCAAACTTTCTTCTATCTTAACAATAATTCTTCTGATTCAGCAAATAATTGCACAGAACTTAAAAGACTTTAATATTTTGAAAAATAATAAAATTTCACGATTTTTTAAAGAAAAACGTAGTCAAACTTTCAGAAACTGACTACCATAATTCAAATCATGTGGAAGAAAAATGGAGCTTCCTTAACGCTATAATATTTTCTTATACAGTGATAACTACGATTGGTTAGGGTTTACTTTTTATTTTTAGAGCTTTGTAATTAATAATGCAAATAAATAACTAAGACTGCTTCAATATTTTGCAAGACTTAATCTAAAATGGGCTTTCATGCGTGTTATAAGTTGTTCCTATGAAAAGCAGATACTTTGAGGATACGGTCATATTACACCTGTAACTACGGAAGGTCGGATTTTCTGCATCATTTATGGCTCTATCGGTATTCCTTTCACGCTACTTACAATTGCAGACCTTGGAATGTTCATTTCAAAGGTGCACAAATATCATATTTTAAAAAAATGTATTATTTAATATTTGAGACATTGGTGGAAGTATTGCAAAAGATTATTTGAGCATTGTTATCATTTTGTTCTGTAAATTATTTGTTCTGAATAAAATTTAGTGCATTTTAAACACTGTTAACAGTACTAACTTAGAAATAAGTAGTATTTTGATTCGCGAAATCAAATTTTAGATTGAAATCAATTGATTTTTCCTTGGTTATTTATCATTAATTTTGCTTAAAAATTTAACTTATTAGCAATTAGAAGCCAAATATGTCAAAAAAATATGCCATATTGAATGCAAAATATGTTAGTTTTTAAAGCTTTTAAATTTTAAAAAGCTCACTTTCAAAGTAATATTTTAAATATTTTACTGCGAGAATTTTGTTTGAAAATTATGATAATACTTATATTATCCTATTGCTTAAATTAATCATACATTAAAATATAAGAGTACTTTTCACACAAACCTGAATAAAAGGTGCAGTTCCAAAAAATACAACAAAAAACATGTAAAATTTTGTTTTGGCTACTTCAGCAGTTGTTATTCATATTTTTATAGCTACTAAAATGGATCGCCAATCAAATAATATCACTGAATCGTCAAATGTTCAATTTAAAGCTCAAAATATCAAGAAATGGTAGATCTTGTACCAAGGTTTTATTTTTATTCTCTTCATTTTTTGCCTGAAGCAAATCTCTTATAATTATTATCTAGATTATTTGACAGACAATATCATCTGTTAAGGCTGATCGTAATAAAAGAATAGAAATTAAAGAGTCTTATGGTTCATCAACATTCAGCAGAAAAAATCAGACAAAAAAGCATGAAGAAATAAAAATTTAATATCAACTGAAATTTTTTGATCAAATTCTCTCAAGTTCTAATTATCTATTTCAGGTGCAACAGACTAGTAATGATAGCACAAATTTAAAAAACACTGATAAAGTTACAAAAATAACGAAGGAATCTGACGATGACAGCAGTGGTATCTCTGAAAGGTGCAATTAATACTAAGTTCCGAACTGTTTCTAATTAATTTTTGCAATTTCCATCTCTTACAACGTGTTTTATTATAACTTATGAACAGACAAGAATATACGACAAAAGTTGATGTTATTGCATTTGCCAATATATAATTGAAAATTTACATAAATGTATAATATTGCAATAATTATAATTTTGAAGTTGTGGTGATTCAGTAATTCTTGGAATTGCGTTTTTGACGTATTTGATTTTTGGCGCTTACGCATTTTCACTATATGAACCAGATATGGATTTCTTCACAGCTATCTACTTTAACTTTGTAACACTTACAACAATTGGTTTAGGTGATTTAGTTCCTAGGAGGTAATTTACAACACAAATATTGAAATCAGTTTATGTGGTATTTTTAAAGTAATAATATGTGCTAAACTAAATTTTGCAGTAAAATTAAATTAAAATCTGAGGACTGCAGTTTAGAAATTAAAATATGAGCGCGAATTAAAAATTTCATAGCTTCGAGTTATAATTATTACAGAGAAAAGTATTTAATAGTAACTTTAATTTACATTACAATTGGCTTGGCTCTCACTACACGTGCTATGGAACGTGCCGCTAATTTACTAAAGAAAATTCATTATTTTGGACGTCAAATTGAAAATATATCTCAAATGACTGTTTGGTTTGGAGGTCAAAAGTATGGAATCACAGTTTTTGCAACAGTCATTTATTACGAAACAATTTAAAACTTTGAAAAAGTGTAAAAATACAGATAATATTGTTTTTAAATTGATCTTTGATAAATAAAAATATGAGTAATTTTATTTATACTAAAATTTGTATATATGGAAATATATAGATAAATCAGTGAACATTTTCAATTTTATGTGCATTACTGACAATGAATATAATCCTCTTTTGCTTAGAATTTCAAATAAGCCATTAGTTTTTTAAAAGTATTTCAAGCAATTAGCGAAAACAAACTAGCAATTCATTCATTTTAATAAATGAAAAATCTAAATACTGCCATGATTTAATTTTAGATTAACAATGAAACAACTAGTGAAGCACCTTGGAGATAAAATGAATGTGCCTATCAATGATTTGATTAATTTAAATATCGATAAGTTTGTGGAATCTGCAATAAAAGTTGAAGAGGGAGAAATCACATCACTTCGAGTTCTAATTTTTTTAGAATTTTGATAGTATTTTCATATTCTTTTTAATAACTGCAAAATTAATACAAAGATTGCCTGACTGGCAATTATTAAAAAAAGAAAATTATGATTCAGCAAAAAAAGTTTGATAATTTTTATTTAAGGTGATTAAAGTATTACAGAAAGTTTTTGCACTAATAACACACGTAGTTCATCGTAAAAATAAAATAATTCTAAGTTTCAGAAGCAAGATGTAGTAATGCGAAGCCATCAGTATCCATGTGCTTTTCGTTATTCAGCCATTCGAAAGTCAGTCGAATCAGAAAATTTGAAATATATTGATGATAAAATCGACAATAAATGTGGTTGGTTCACCATCAACATTTTAGCTACTCATATATTCAGTAATTTTTTTTGGCAGCAGTATCAATTTTCAAAATTCTTTCTAGTATAACCTTGCAAGTGCATGAAATTATTATTCTCTTACAGAAAATGAACCGGCTCTGGCAATTATTGATTCAGATCGCTTACACGTCAAGCAACAATAAAAACTTTCCTTAGACGTTAAAAAATATTTACAAGTATTAGTAATTATCATACGATTATGTGTGTAAATAATTACTTCTCTTACTTATACAGCACATATATAAGATTAATTTTAATTTTTACAGTTCAATATATTGAAAAAATTATCAGAATGAAGGTGAACGGTCTTTAAAAAGTAGATCTCTTTAACACTAATTAATATGTCTAACACTTTCAATAAAATATTGAATAACGGAATGAATTACTCTAATTCTGTGTCAATAGCTGATCAACAAAATCTTTAACTTATTACAGACAAATGTTTTATAATGCTATTAATCTAATAGCACTTCAAAATATCACTTTGAAACCATATTTGAAGTAATTTAATTTAATGTGCGCTATTACCAGTAAATGCGAAATAGTGAACTTTCACCAGCACTGATTGTTAACATTTTCAAACGACAACAAACATTATAATTTTTCTCCTTTATCTTATGTTTAAAAAATTTCAAAGTTTATATTACTCTTCATTGAAATTAGAAATGAAAAACATGGTTCAAAATTTAATTTTGTAATACTAATAATCTAAAAGATTCCATGCATTTCTGCAATAAAGTACTTCATTTTATCAGTATTTATTTGTACTCAATTCGAAAGTTATAATTTTTAAAAAGTTTTATTTCTACTAAATAAAATGTGGAATTGAAGATCACAGTAGTTTTCAAGAATTAGTCATAAAAATGATTATTGATGCAAAAAAAAAAAAAAAAACTAGTCTAATCATACATAGGAATAAGTTATTATTTCCACAATTAACCAAAATATTCATCAGTGGGCATAATTTTCTAATACCTCACACACCCACAGTTTAGCGTTATTTCAGTTTCTTAACTCGAAATTTAGTGATTATATATATATT